GTTGTTCAGTTTTCATTATTTATTATATGCAGATTAAAGACATAAACCCCAAGTGCTGGCACAAGAAAGCGAGAGTCATACTTAAGTAAAGTGAAAGCAGTAATCAACATGCCAGGAACTGGGTCAGAGGAATCTTTGGTAATAGCAAACACCATCAACAAACATGTGGCCCAGTTTTAAATCCTCACTAAACATAAACCTTAGTAGGAAGTTTACTTTACTGTATATGCTTCTCAAACAGTATCCTTTTACTCAAGGGAAACCTACTTAGGAGATATCTTTCCTCATGGGGTAAACAATCAGTGCCTATAAACAAGCCACAGACTTTACACATTTTTTTTAGCTGCCACCAAAAAGCCGATGAGGCACACGATTATATAAATAATTGCATTATTAGTTTGGTAGCCTTACTGTACAAATCTGTGCAGCATTGATGAAACTGATCAGGGTTTTGGCAGAGAAGGACATCTCTCTGCCCTCTAGTGGCAAATGAGGTCATTTCATTGAGTGAATCATTGAATCACAGTGGTGATAACATGTAACAAGTATGACAGTGTATGATTCGTAAAGAAATAACAAGCACAGGTGTGTTTCTTACAACTGATAATATTTACATATCTGTGCCTGATTTACCACGGTGTTTGCAGTTATCACTGTTGTATTCAGTAACAATACATTTTTGAGTTTAAGTGTTTTTTAGGTCCGCATCAATTTGAGGGTGATAAAACGGTTTAAATAATTTTTGTTTGGGATATTGTTTTGTTTGCATGGTTCATGAGTGGTAGCTTTTAGTGATTGCGAATTTATCCACAGAGCTTCCTCTTTAGATGCATTATCAAATGGTGCTCTGCCACAGAGCAACAAACATTACTGTAAGTCTGGACCAGGAAGAGAAAAATATTGCAATTTAACTCACTTCCTGAAGTCTAGTGTCTGCTATCCCATGCTAAATGTGTCAGAAATAAAAATACAGTGCATGAGTTGTTCATACAGTACAGGACATTTAATTAAACAAGATAGCGTTATGGCAGGCATTTCAATCAGGAAACTTTTGATTTAAAACCATTTAGTAGCGACACCATGGCTCTCAATTTTCAGCTGGAACAAAAGTTAAAAAAAAACCTTTGCACATAAAGACAAATAACTACACAGCAGCTGCATACTGAAGAGAAAGAATGTGCTCAGAGGAAAGATTAAAGCATCCGTTCATAATCTAACAGACCTTTTTTGAAATGCCGAACATATATCATATATTGTTCTCAAAAGACACACACATTTGCTAACAAATCACCCAAAACCAACAGACATACTTTTTTTCAATTCTCATTTTACCACCTTCAATTGATGAGATTGCAAATATGACTCCTGTATAATTCAGTCAAAAACTTCTTTATTTTACTGTTGTATTAACAAAAAAAGGGTCAATGAGACTAAATACTTTGTTGGCCATGATGCTTTCTCAGCTAAATAAAACTGTATTCAATTAATGTAGACACATGGAATAAAATGGGATGGTTAGATGATAGACAAGGCTTGTTCTGAGCAGCCTTTTCTAGCTTTCCAAAATGTGTTATTGAAATAAGTGTGTTTTTCTCAAAGTACACCTATTTGAAACCTACCCACTGCTGCAAAAGGATTAGGTTCACCTGCTATTGTTTTTGTTTGTTTTCTTAGTGCAAAATTTCGTGTTGCTTGCTTTGTTTTGTCTTGGGACTCTTTGCTTGGAGTGATTTCTTTAGCTTTTAGCTATGGCCCTTGTTTTTGCCTTTTAGATTTTGCTTTGTGCTATGCCGACTTTAGTTTTGGTTTCTACTTTTCATACACAAGTACTTTTAATATTGCATTTTAAGTACATATTTTAAATACATATTGTAATAAAGATCATTCTAACTGAATATGTATTTGTTGTTTTCTAACTAACCATTTTATTTTGCAGCAACCATTTCCTATTTGTTTTGAATATAAGAAAAAAATGATATTTTAAAACACGCCTCTGTCCCTCAGTTGACGAACCGGTGTGTCTTGATGACTAATATTACTAATCAAGGGTTTTGGTAAAAGATAAAGCATTGCCTTGTGTCTATTTCCTGGGGTGCAAGACCCCAGGTGGTGTTGTCGGTCCTTTGTCTCAAAATTAATATGATTCATATTTAAACCCACCCCATCACATCAAGAAGTTAACAATTTCTCATCCCTGGTGAAAATGATACATGATCTTTATCTTCAGAAATACATTTCTTTGGAATTGGTTCTCAATGGGCTCATTTACAGTGCCTTTTTCTTTCTCTTGTGTTATGTTGCATTGAACTCAGTCTTGAAAGCACTCTGGTATGTGATTACTTTCTGGGGAATTCACCTGTCCCAAACTGCCTGAAGTAAGAAATAGAAAGATTGAGAGGGACCTCCTCAAATCTTAAGCTGAGCTAACCGGTAGGAAAACAGGTTTATGAGTCGCTGCATGCAGTCTCATTACACTATTCCTCATTGTGGCAGTAAGATGCTTTAAACAGGGTCTTTACAGACACTGCCACACACGTCTAGTGGGTCATAAAGGATGATTGAGAGAGATTATTGTATGAGTTTATTTTCCTTTATAGAAAAATCCCTGTAAATTGGGTATTTAAAGTGATATTGTACAAAATATGTCAGGTTAATAAGAGCTATTAGATCCAGCTGTGTAAGACCATGATAACCTACTGTATGACCAGCTTTTATGGTTTAAAGAGGTTATATAATGCATACATAATTTAATGTAGCCTATGTCAAGTACAAGTATACATTTTATGGCTGCCTTTTCGCTGTAGGCTACAGCTGGATAACAGTGCTAGCATAATTGTATTGATCAATGCCCAAACCAGATTGCCTTGCAGCTCTCTTGTGAAGATTGTGGTGTGATAATAGCTGCAGTGATGATAATGATGACGACCGTAAGTCTTGTAAGTGGGAGGCTTTGTTGATTCAAAGGGAGCAAAATGTATATTCTGATGAACAGCTTCCTCTCAGACACATTGTGTATCAGCCAAAATAACACAAAAGCACACCCATTTATTAAGTGCCCAAAACATGCTAATTGCAATGACTAAGTAGAAAAGGAGGAAGTACTGAATGTGAAATCAATCATTATATGCAAAGTCTGGAAACAAAAGCAATGCAGCATAAATGTATCTGAGAGATATAACTGAAATCCTTATAGACAAAAAGGTTATCTTAAGTGTCAATATAGACTATGTTAGTTACGAATTAACTTTGGTGGCAATATTGGTCCATTTAGTTTTACTTTAAAAAAGGCTCTATCAATAACAAAAACAAAAACAAAACCCATGACTTGTTTAAAGGTTCATTGCCAAACGTTCCGTATGCAGACTTTAACATCAGCTGCATCTCAAAGGTAGTAAGAAATATCAACAAACATTAAGCTCTGGATGTGGAAGTAAAAGATGGTTGGGCTGAAGTTTCTTAGCAACAGTGCATGCTCACAATAGCCAGCTATAGACTGATACCAAACATCTTAAAGCATAGTTACATTGATGCTTCCCTTAATAAACTTTGAGAGCTCAATGGAAATATATACTGTGATGACAGTCTTTGCAGTGCAAAAATATAAGATGGAGAGAGGTTTAACATGCTCTGACAGTTCCTCAGGGCTATTGAGTAGAAGAGATGGTGACTATGTGAATAAATTGATCCAATTGATCCAAGTGCAAATCTGTTAAATTACTTAAGGGCAAATGTTCCACATGCATGTCCATGTCTCATTAAATCATGTCATAATGACAGGGCCACTGAGTGTGCCATCCACCCTTATATATAATGATGTGTATGTCTTCCTTGTCTTTCCTAACAAACATCAAATGATTTATTTTCAATAATGTAGAAGTTCTCCTTTGGCATTATGACTAGGAGCCTACTAAAGCAGTAGCTACTGCTAGCCTGGGTTTCTGCCTCTCTACATGACTACACCCTAAACTAAATTTAGTCTCAGATAGTAAATATTTTGAGATAAATCTCTCCTCTACATGTTCTTCAGCACTGCAGTTTACACGTTATTACCTCTGCCAAGGAGGTTATGTTCTTGCTTAGGTTTGTTTTTGTCTTTGTTAGCGGGTTAAGAAACTGGAGTTATTTTCCAAAACTCTGTGATTCCACTCCTAAGATTAATATGCATTTAATGAAATATGGAATGGAATGTTCCTGACCATTCATTATTTGCATTCAAAAATGTTTTATATGTGCAAGAGGTTTCAACCGGGGGAGTATAGAGCATTTGAGCTACTGTAAGTGACGTCATCGCTTCCTCCCACCCACCTGTCCTTAATCACGTGATTGAGGAAAGTTTGTGTTCGTGCATCGGTCGCTCTTATTTCCGGTAGGAGTCACTTTTATAGCAAAGTTTATTTGTGGGTTTGTTTAACATGTGTAGACCTACATTTGGAGGACATATTGATATGTTTAGCTTGGCCAGTTTTATAAAAAGAAAATCGGTTATTTTCATGGCAACATGACAAAACTGGTGTGACTGCTAACAGCCACATGTCACCACCAGCCTCTTAAACAACGACGTCACGATTGAACTTATATAAAAATAAAGATATTTATGTCTTTAAGCAATGTAAACTATTATTTTTGTATGTAATAGATAGATTTTATTTGCAAAAATCTCGAAATAGCTATGCCTGTCATATGATGCATAAAACCCTCTTTTGAATGTTACTTTAGTTCATGAATAATATCTTCTGTGTTTTTAACTAAATTAACAAAGATATGCATTTCTTTAGGAAAAAACCAATGCGTAACCCATTTCCTTCATGGAAAACTGACCCTCTCATCGCAAACAGACCTGTTAAACTGTGGTATAGCAGAACAACAAGTGTAAAGCAACAATAAAGAGAAACAATAAAGATGCGTTTTCATGTCGTGCAGTTGTTGCGACAGGATGCAGCGTGTCGCTGTTTATCACCACTTGATCCTTCACTAGTATTGTACAGAGAGGGAGGGCAGAAATATTTCCTGCTTTCCCTAAACGACGAGAGAGCGAAAGGGGTGGGCAGGGGATTGCATGACATGCCAATAAATTACAGTGACTTCAGTGGAGAGTACTAGTGATGAGATGAGGACCGACCACACAACTTTCCTTCTGACAGCCGCATCCTCTGGTTCTCCGGCCATTAGTTCTGGAGTAAATCTCAACGGGAAGCAACAGGAGGTAGGTAAAGTTTCATTGTTTATGCACATGGATTTCTTATATTTGTATTGTGACAAATGTAGCCTACTTACTGTTGTGATTACTGTTATTTTAAAAAAGAAAAACATTTAAATCAAATTTTAGATGTAGATTATTTTTTAGATTTGTAGATATCTACAGGCAGAATGTTTGGAGTTTAACAGTAACCTGTTTTAATAATGTCTTGACTTTTAAACCAAAATGCATATATATTTAATGTCCTAATAATACAATGATTTAAGTTTGACATTTTAAATTAAGTTTCATTTTTCAAATGAGTATACAAGATTTTGACAGTAATTATGCTCCCACTATGTCGTAAACGTCACTGAAATAAAATCTAATATTTTCCTCTGTCTTTATTTCTCATCTATTCTCAGTTGAGACTGTGATGCTGCAGCAGCAATGTCACAGCTGTATTACCAAACACATGACAACTCTTCATACAGGGACCGCATCCCCCTGCGGATTGTACGGGCAGAGTCTGAGCTCTCTGCCCTAGAGAAGGCCTACCTGGGGGCTGTGGAGAAGGGGGATTATGCCAGTGTGAAACAAGCCCTGGAAGAGGCTGAGATCTACTTCAGGATCAACATCAACTGTATCGACCCCCTGGGCCGCACAGCTCTGCTCATTGCCATTGAAAATGAGAACCTGGAGATCATTGAGCTGCTGCTCAGCTATAACGTATATCTGGGGGATGCCCTGTTGCATGCCATCCGCAAAGAAGTGGTGGGGGCTGTGGAGCTGCTGCTGAACCATAAGAAGCCACGTGGGGAAAAAAAGGTACTGTAGATTGTAGTATTGTTTTTTAAACTTTTTTCTTGCCTCAGTCAATTTATTCATTTTTTTGAGAACATCTTTGAAGCAACATGCTTACACAATTATTTATTTCTAAATTACCCCACACAATACAGTATTTGTATTTGTTACTAACCTGTTTGCTGAGATTTTAGAAGCCTTTGTCAAGGAAATTGCATTACTGAACACGAGAAAGGACAGTGAACTTTTCATTCCAGTAAGGTTTGTAAAGTGGCTTCCATTAGATATTTTATTTTTAGAAACATCCATATCAAAGCTGCCGTGTGATTTGCAACTGCTCCTATGTCCATGTATATGCAGAAAAAAAGGCAGTCAGTGGAAACAAGTACAGTGTGTGGCGCATTTAATTTGCTTCAATATAAAACATTGTTAGGTGACATGTAAAGCAGTACATATTCAGTTATTTCTGTCATCTGCCTTGAAGCAATTCAACCCTAGAAACATATGTTAGACAATTAAACAATTAAGACAATTACAGAGTATGTATATATGTATAAGCTACAGTTAAGTTGGAGTCAAGACTCCAACTCTCCCCAACCCAGAGGAGAATGAGTGGTTTAGAAAATAGATTTGGAAATTCTTGAGCATGCATTTCCTTTACAGCATATTGTAAGCTATATAATGGCACAAGATACGCATTTAGGGTCTATCTCTCGGATTGTATGAAATGGCTGTAGCACTTAACAATTTTACAGATATAGAACAAACATTATACACTGTGTGTTTCTCAAACATTGGCTTTTATTTTAGGAAACCAACTCTGTATTTTCTGCTTACACGTTTCAGCTCTGATACTCTTTTATGTGCTGCTGTGGGTCGTTTTGCAACTGTTTTCAGCTTCTTGACATCTTTGTAAATGTGGTTTTTCTTTTACGCTGCTGGGCCTCTCTGTAATGGACTGGGTGTAATGTGTATCTTGTCAATTGAAGGAAAAAGAAAAAAGGGTTTAGTTGCCTCCAACCAGGAAGATATTTTGAGGGCAGCTTAACCACAAGCCATTAGCTGTGTGCTTTCCGATGAGATGGTCAGATACACAAGAGAGATGAAATTAGACCCATTCAAACCAGTTGTTTCTGTTTGTGTGCGGGGGTTAGAAAGAGTGTATTTTTCTGTGAATTTCCTGAAATATGATAGTATAGTGTACATTGATTGTGTTTCATGTTTCTTCATTTATCTATTCTTCTCTTGGCTTTCTCAAAAGGTCCCACCAATTCTTCTGGACAAACAGTTTTCAGACTTCACCCCGGACATCACTCCAATCATTCTTGCCGCCCACACCAACAACTATGAGATCATTAAACTGCTTGTTCAGCGAGGTGTTTCCATACCTCAGCCACATGCTGTGCGCTGCAACTGTGTAGAGTGTGTCTCCAGTTCGGATGTGGACAGCCTACGTCACTCACGCTCGCGCCTCAACATCTACAAGGCCCTTGCCAGCCCGTCTCTCATCGCCCTCTCCAGCGAGGATCCTTTCCTTACAGCTTTTCAACTCAGCTGGGAGCTTGGGGAGCTCAGCACAGTGGAGAATGAGTTCAAGTCAGAGTACGAGGAGCTGTCCCATACGTGTAAACAATTTGCAAAGGACCTCTTGGACCAGACCCGGAGCTCTAAAGAGTTGGAAATAATCCTCAACTACCGTGATGACATCGACCCCCTGCTGGACGACAGCACAAATGATCTGGCCCGACTCAAGCTGGCTATCAAATATTGCCAGAAAGAGGTAAGCTCTTTGTTGATTATGATATCTGTATAGTGACACTAGTGAAACAAGTACAACAAGGAATAAGTACGTTATTTGAACAATATGGTCTAGATCAGTCGTTCCCAACCTTTTTACACCAAGTACCACCTGAGAAAATAGTTGGCTCTCCAAGTACCACCATATGACCAATGTTAAAATACAGTCTATGCACAGTTCATGCAGGACTCGGAGGCAAATGTATTCATAATAA